TAGATACTCGGCCATTTCCTCCCTGACTGAACAACAGGCCAGCTTAGCAGTCAAACGGCGGAAAACGCTGCCGACAGCTATCGGCCTGAGTCCTCCATCCTTCTTATTTAAGGCACAAAGCGAAGCCCCATACATAAAAGGACACACTTCAGGGTTTAACTGGCCGCTAAGTAAGAAATTACACAGCTTGGCCAGACTACCCATTAAACGTTGCCCGTTTTCGCCCGCCGCCCTAGAAGTGAGTTCCTTTAGGTGCCCCGGACGAATGCCGTCCAAACCCGCCGCAGAACCACTATAAAAAGAGTTTAGCGCCTGAGCTACATCCTCTGGTGTGGCGGTAACGAATGCGCATGACGCATCCGGCGCTGGCTGGGGCTTGAGTGGGCGCGACGGGCCGGCGTGCTTAAGCTTCAAGGCAGCCAAGGTCTCAGAACCCCCCTGAGCAAATTTGTCGTTCGACATCAACAGGCGGACGGCTCCCCTTAGGTCTCCCTCAAATACCTTATTTTCAATAGTTTTTTGTATTGAACACGACCTGCGATTCGTTGGCGCGCCGTCACACTCATCTTCAAACTGGTAAAAGCCCGAGGAGTTGATATTCGCCTTTACCTTAGACGTCATATTACCCGGCAGAGACTTAGACGGCACCCTCAATGCGCTAAAGGCAAAAGAAAGAAGCGCGAACCAGTCCTCTACACCATTACCGTCCACGCATCCATCTATTATGCTGCTTAATTTGGCCGCGGCCAGGTTACGTGCAGCCTTAGGAATGTGCCGCATCACCGGAATGCTACTTTTGCAAGTGGCAAGCCTTTCCAGAGGGCACCGATGTTGGGGCACCACCCCCGGGCGCGGCCGTTGGCCGACATCACTAGAAGACGTGTCCTGTTGCACGTCCGTAGGGCTCGTGCGTGGTTGGTGTCCATGTATTCGTGCAATATGTATTTTGAGGCCGCGTGAACTAAAGATGCGCGCAGACCCCTGGCAGTGGGGGCATGTCGATTGTGACGACAATAATGAGCTCATGTTAATGATGCCGACAAAACACACACGTATACAATATATATATATTAAAAAAAAAAAAAAAAAAACCACATTAAAAACAAAAAACCCAGTCAAATTGAGAACCTCCTCCTTTTCTTTTTAAGTCGGTTAACAATGTCAAAACATTCTTAAAAATCAAAAAAAGTAGCTTTAAAGTAGTCAATTTATAAACGTATTTATACAAGGCAAAGTACAGAGGTAATCATGTCATAGCATAGAAAGTAAAGTTTCTAAACCAATAATATGTGTAATATTATAAAACCATTTTATGAAACTAAACCAATAATATTATGAAACTTTGCAGTAATAAATTATATAATATATTCTTATGGTAAAATTAAATGAGTACCATAAATCAATGTCAACAACAAGTTTCTACAAAATTAGGGTGGCATTAATTAATAATAATTTACAGTAACAATTATGATTCTCACCATCTACAAAAGGGTAGATAGGAGTAAAAAAGGAAAAAAATAAATAATTGAATTGAATAGTAAGCATAATTACTAGTATACAAATTACAAGTGTCGCCCTCTGTGGAAAGCCGCCGGTACAAGAATTCTTCCAGACACTCGACGAAGTGGCACCAGCAGTGCCACAACACCACAACAAAGCAACAATCGATTGACGAACACGAACCGATAACGCAAACAGAGATGGCGCCAACCGAGCGTTGGCGAGGTCAGGGAATGTTTGAAATATGAATTTTTCTTCCCACTGTTATCAATTTTATTTTAACGTAACTTTTCCGCACACACACTTTAACGCTCAATCACCGTGAAAGCACTGATCACCACTGTTGATGTCGCAGCCGATCTCCCGGCCGACACACGCAGCTTCGGCGCCTCCAGGGTTTTCGGATATTTCGCTAGCAACGACACGAAACTTTGGGATAACATTTATTCACCTACATTGGGCCTCGTTTTCCATGTATAACGCATAAAAAACTGCAATATCACTTGATGAAATAATAAAACAGGAATATATACTCGGAGATCTATGTTTATGCCTGATATATGATCTATGTTAATTAAAAATTAAAAAAAATATTACCATTTTTGATGGCATCTCAATAGCGTGTCAGTGGTATGACAATGGCTTGGCGTGAACATGAAATAGCAGAATTGAGGCCCTGTTGACTAGTAAAATGCATATCTACTTGATTTGCAAGAGCATTCGAACAGAATGACTTGATATACTCTCGATAAAAGATGAAGCCATCTCGGTTCTAACCATTAAAAGTTACTTACTCCATTTTTTCCTTATGTAAATCCGTGTAAATCTAAGAATCTACCAATGTGTAAATTCGTTTAGCGCAAGAGTATTGCTTCAAACTTAATTTACCAACATCAGTGCTATGTAATTTACATAACACAACAGACATTTACATTTAAATTAATACATTATAATTACCCTCATCATCAACGGCCTTTAGCTGCTGTACATGGGCCTTAGAAAGGAGAATTTGGCCTACTATACCACGTTGGCCAGACGGGTTGGCATAGGATCCTTTCAAGTTTTCCTTCTCTTTGCAGTGCTGTTGTCCTGCGTAGTTTGCTCCCTTAGTCGTCTCTTACCACACCCACGGGATAAATAGGGGTGGTGACACTCCGTTTTCTTAATCCGTCACCACACGGACCGGTTTTACCGGACCGGACACGGACCGGAATTACCTTAAGCTAAAACTTATTACCATCAGACCACTATTTGTTGCCGTCACAATTATTTGACGTAATGTGGATACTACACTGCAGAAAGTTCGTTTACCAATAGACGAAGTTAGCCAAACCTAACTATTATTATATTATACACAACATTTTTTCTTTGCCTTACCTTCTGGTGCCAGATCGCCGCTCCTGGCAAAAAATGTTATGTGTTAAGTAATTTTTTTTGTCATTTTTTAATTTTCACAACTAAAATAAACAATTCTACAACTAAACTATTTTCAACGAATGGCAACAGATATCTTTTCGTTTCCGTTGCCATTAGTTGCGAAAAGACTACTGTACCTGGTGATTTTAAATTAATTATTGTCCGAAAAGGTTCTTTCGGATCGGCTAGAATAAATAAAATTGGAGTGTCTGTTTGTAATATTAAAATAACCGCTTTTTACTAAATGCATATGTATGTTTACACGGTACATATGCCAAAATAACATGTTTTACAATTTTTGTCTGTCTGTCTGTTTGTTCCTGGTAATCTCTGGAACGGCTTTACCGATTTCGACGGGACTTTCACTGGCAGATAGCTAATGACATAAGGAGTAACTTAGGCTACTTTTTTTAGACCAGCTTCGTCCCGCGGCGTTGCCCGCGGTTATAACAACAAACGCGGGTAACACCGCGGGTCTCAGCTAGTTAATAATAAAAATACATATATCAGACCACTTCTAATATTCAGTATCTCTTTATAAGCTTTTAATTAGTAGGTAGTGAAATACAGAAGTTAAATAGTAATAATTAATTCATGTGTAAAAACCCGAAAACGCGTAAAAAAATTAGAGAACTAAAATAATTAATTCGTGTCGTCACGGATGCTGAACTTAAATATATATCTACTTTAAATTAAGTAATTTTATTATATTTTTTAATTCATTTAAGTATTAAGGTTCACCAGAAATAATAATACAGAATATTACAAGACATCATCTATAGTTGAGAGCACATTATTGTTACAAACACTTAAAGGCAAACACAACATGTCACTGTAAATTCGCTAGTTCACTTATTTATTTATTTTTGCTTTTCTTACGTATTGCAGCTAAACAAAGAGAGGAAAAAGCGACATGAGTCATTACCGACTATAATTTTTAAGGTGTATATAGTTAATTATCTATTTATATACCCTTTGTCTAAATATACATATGTATGACAAATGACAATACCAAATATACAGCGAGTTATTTGACAGTGAGCTCACGGAACACTTACATTAAGAGTGGGTGTATAAACAATATCCTGGTAATATTACAAATGTCATGGTACCCGAACAGTCTATTATATGGATTGACACATATTCAAATGATTAAGCAAATAAATGAACGCATTATTCGCATAGGCTATTCATAATTATGGCGTTTTGTTTAGCTACTGAGTCGGCAAGTAATTCAATTATGTCACTGCAACCATTAGATGTTATACAGTCTTGCATACGGTAATTATTAAGTGTATTCAGTTATGCAAAAGAAGTTCTTACTAATGAGATAAACAGAACCTAAGCAGAAAGCATATGGTTTAAATTTATTAGATAGCGTCAAGCTGACACCGAGCCTTTCGGAGTGATTATACCCATTTTAGACGTCCAACATGGTCACCCTAGCTCTACTTTCGACAACTGTGCTTTCTTTCATCATCATTGTCAATCTAGTTCTGCCTTTGATGATTCCTAATTATATCAGTGATGATATAATAGGGAATCAGGAAAAAACACATTAAAGATTGAACATTAAACATCACATTGAGATTGTGAAGTTGAAATAAGCGTTTAAAATTGAATAGTAGTATCAGAATTGTAAACAATTCCATCAGCTTGAAAGTTTCCATTCAATTAACTTGGAACGAAGGACAATTAAAACACATCCTTAAACAAAATAATATAACAGCACTCTTACAATAACATTGAACTAAAAATAAATCCAGTGTATAACAAACACATCTATTTAAGATGGTCAAAGGTTAAGGCTTTATACAGTAAATGGAAAATTACTAGACACCTAAAAATATTTGACTTTCATAAAAAAAAAACTTTCTAATATCACATAAAATTTCGCCAAGACATGAGGAAGATCCTGAAAAAATACATCGCAAAAACTATTTTCCTGTAGTACTCAAGCGTATTTCACGCAAGGGCGGCGTTGTTTAAATAAGAGATAATTCGTCGCCGGCGCACATTCGCGGCAACTCGCTCGTTGCAACCTGACCAACTTTTGCACCCTGTATAAGATAAATTCGGACAACATGAAAGTGTTATTATTGCTGTTTGTAAGTGTTATTTGTGCTCATGCCAAAGTTACCCGTAAGTATATTTTTATTTATTTACCACTTACAAAAACTAGTAAATAAAACTCATCGCATGTGTTTTGATCTGAAAATGAAAAAAGTGTTATTATATATAAAGGTTAACAGAAATTATCGAACATTTAAGTTAGTTATTAGGTAGTAATTGGTTCTTGTAGGTTTTCTGGTAAAAATATTTAAATATTATAATTATGTATGTAATAATTAAAGTTGGTCATTGCTTCTCCATTTGAGTTAAAAAAATAAACTCAATCTCCATATTTTAACTGGCGTAACTAAGATAATTTTATTATAGTCGTTAATATTATAATTATATATACTTACAAAACAAACTAGTTTCAAACACATGTGCTTTTATAAAGAAATCTTACTGTTTAACCTTGGAACAGATTTCATACGGCTAAAATCAGTATTATCAGTAGTTACATCACTGTTAGTAAAGAAATTAAAATTCATTTTGTAGCTGTCCAGCATTAGCATCAGCCTTTTAAAAGAAAGTTAACAACTTTATTAAAAGCAATGAGGAGTAAAAATAATATTATTGTTACCTTGTCAATAATTTGAAAGTTCATCATTTTTTGTAATCTGATTCTGAATTAGAAGCAAATCAAACGGCACTTGATGATAATATTTTCTTATGAGTTTGTTTTTTTTTACATTTACACTATGTATTGCGTTCTTCCATTAAAGTAAAGTTTGTAATTTGTATATGACCTAATAACAGCAGATGCGTCTGGGGCCAAAACTAAGTTTGTCATCATGATAGATAAATCCGGTTATAACTCTGATAAAAAAAAATCTAGTTTAAATGAAGTCGAGATACAACTATCTTAAAATAGAAAAACTAAATACAAAGAAACAACAAACATCACAATCATTATCAACACCATCAACAGCCTTTAATAGGCTTTGGGCTACTATACCACGCTGGCCACACGGGTTTGCGTCAATTTTTCCTGCTCTTTGCAGTGCTGTTAGTTTCCTCTTTAAGCCGACTCTTACAACAACCATGGGATGAATAGATTTGGTGACACTCCGTATCCTTAATCCGTCACCACACGAAGCCAAAATAGGGATTATATAAATACGTATTTCACATAAGTGAAACCCTTAATGTTTAACACCGCGCAAGCTTGTGTGTCAAATTTAATAAGATGCCCTTTTAACTATATTAATCTCACAGATTGCAAAGAAGCAAGAGGAAACATGCGATCAATACATCAACAGTATCTAAACATGGACTTTTTTTAAATTTCATAACCGAATTTACAACAACCGTTAAAAATATATATTTATAAACAATGCTTAATTACAATATTATTCGCCTCTATTATGTTACGTATTGGTTAAAGCATGCGTTCTGCTCTGATAGCGATCGATTGCAGTAATGACATTATATCGTTGTATCTGACATCTCTATAAATAAATAAATATTATTGTATCATGCTTCAAGATTACTGCTACTAGAATTCTGTAAATTAATTAAAATAATAATAACTTGGCAGATCCTGTCCTATGGTAACCAGATTGCTGATCAATATATGTATACATTTCTAAATATAAACTAGCTGACCCGGCAAACGTTGCTTTGCCTAAAAAAAAAATTTAGGGATGGGTCACCCTTACCATTTAGGGGTATGAAAAATAGATGTTGGCCGATTCTCAGACCTACCCGATGTGCACACAAAATTTCATGAGAATCGGTCAAGCCGTTTCGGAGGAGTACGGGAACGAACATTGTGACACGAGAATTTTACATATAAGATTTTAGCTAAATTACACATAGTTGGATATAGAATTATTGATCGTGCTCATGGCACAATTTATATTATATAATAAGCTTTCTTATATTGCTGCAGATTAATTCAAAACTTTTTTTTTTGGCTCTAACTCCACAGGTGTAAGTCAGATTTAACAAAATATTATTTTAGTACTCGATTTCCACATTTTTTTAAGAAGTTTCTTAGGAGCGCTTTCAGAGAGCTTAAAGTCACTGCTTTACTGTCTATAAAATGTCGAGGAAATAGTTATCAAAATAAAACTAGGAAGAACGATAAAAAGCATTTAAAAATATAGTTTAATTGTAACTCGAAGACTGATTTGAGACAGTGGATTTTTTTACTTTTAACTTTTCTTTATTTTGCAACTCTGCCAAATTAGTCTGATTCTGTCATATCCTTCTTGGTCTTTATAAATACCTTCGAGGTTTATTAAAGAAAACTTTAACTCGTACTCTTACTAATATAAAAAATAGTAACAATAACATTATAAAACACTTTAGTTTGACTGAATAAACTAAATAGCCAAGATAAGATAACAAAAGAAGTCTCGTACTAACTTCCACGTCTTATAATGTTATTGAAAATGTAACGTCGTGAAATCGAAAGTACTTTCGATTTTATGCTGTACCCAGAGAACAGTTAATGTCGTACCTCTAGGTTTCAAGGAGACCTACGAATTACGACCATATGTAGGTCAGTTGCACTGGTCGCTGCTCAATCAATATGCGTTCCGTGTGCGAATGCTGTAAGCATGCACTTAAACATGACTGCTTATTGTAAAAATAATATTGATATCGTATAAGTACATACGAGTATGTACTGGTAGGTAAATGTTACCTAATGGTTTTTATAGTATTTGAACAGTTGAAATGCTCATACGTAGTATTTTGGTCTAACTTTTTCTTAACATAGGCTTTGTCGGTATATTGCCAACCATTTTCTTATCTTATTTTTGTAAGTATTAATCTTAACTTATGATTGTTAAATCTAATTACCATTTTATTAAGTAAATTTCAAGCTTAGTAAGAATTAATTAAATCAATCTCTGCAACTGTTAGGTTCTAGCGATACTCAATACTTAATAGTTTATTGCTTTCATAATGCAAATTGAAGAGTCAGTAAAACTTAAGCTTACCTCGAAAAGTAGAGGCATACCGGGCAGAGCTCTGTCAGATCTTGTTGGCGGAGTAGGACAAACAGCTTGCGCGGCCCAGTGCAGGGCACGCCGGAATAGCGGTGGTAAGACCCGTCCTACGAGAGTGACTGAAGAGGAAACACGGAGCTCTCACCTTCCGAATGACGCAGGTGCTTTCCGGACATGGTTGCTTCGGCAGGTACTGGTGTCGGATCGGCCGGGAGCCGATGTAACGGTGCAATCATTGTGATGAGTGCCCTGGGCCTCAATTCTGCTATTTTATGTTCACGCCAAGCCACTGTCATACATCATACATAGTCTACACTAACTCAGTGTCTTTACAGTGGCGATGGAATGGCAGTGGCTCATCAGTGATGATATCAAAAAGATTGCCATATTTGGAAAAATAAATAAATCATTTCCTTATAATTTGAAAATATATTACGTTCCTTTTAAGGAAATGATTCGATGATCGCTACCGACCTTGGTTTTGTACATGGTCAGCAGCGATACTGCATGGAGCGCCGTCACTTCCTTCTGCGAATATGTGATGTCCACAAAAGAAGCGGCAGGACGGGAAAGAGAACGCAACACCGCTGAGACAGGGGCGTAGAAGGCGCACCGGGCGCCTCAGGGCATTCGACGATCTCCGGCCACCTTAGGAAGTGGCCTTCGGACGACGATTTTAGGGAATTCGTCGTCCGAACAGATACAGGCCCGAGTGGCAGCGCACAGTGTTCCATGTGCGCTTCTAGAGGACTGCGACCGAAGGGTGACGGTCGCAACGGGTGACGAGACCCGTCTTGGGTGAGACGGGTCAATGCCTGTCGGGGGTGGTGGAAGAATGCAATTGCGATTGTGCAAGCCATTGGCAAGAAGAGGAAAACCGAGGTAGTTTTTAGTACGTAAGAGTCCGACAGACCCCCACTGGGCGAAGGACATTCATGAGGATCTTCCACCCCGTTAACAAAAAAAAAAGGTATCAAAGGTATGGATCCTGTCGGACACAGCATAGAAGAGGGAGAGAAAGGGGGAGGGGGCGAGATTATGCGATACTTTAGTGTTTGTGAATGCCTACAATTATTATCATTTCTCTGCTCTTTTACCAAATTTATTTAGGGTCGGTGCAGTGTACAACATAGTATATCATTTTGCTGGTCATGTCACGCAACCGGCTATAAACCAACAAAACTAACCTAACCTAACACTCTCCCTCCTTGAAAGTAAATGTAAGGAACATAGATAAGCCGAGGGAGCTAAGTCATACTACAAGTCTCGAATGGGGAAATGAGACTGAGGCTCTAGTAGCCCGAAGTTCAGCTTCGCGTACCAGAGACGCTACTGCTACGCTTATGTCTCATCAAAAATAAAAATAAAAATACAGATAGTTTTAAAATTAACAGTGTCCTTGGTTCTTCAAAGTCACATAATTATTGTTTAATTTTTACTGGTCTTTTTTAAATTTATAAACTTTAGTTAGAGCTCAGACATAGTAAAGGGCCAAAGACAATTTAGGGTCAACTTATTATCTACCGCAGTGGCTTTAACTTGTGGTTAAACGACAGGAAACGGCAACGGTTGGGCGCTCTTTAAAATTAGATATACGTTATGCAATTCAGCAATATGTAGGCACTAAAATTGCTAAGGTATCATAAGTAGATAATAACTTTTAAACTGGCTGTATGCTACATGTTTATAACTTTACTGTACTAGCAATATGTAACGCATTTATTAGACTAGCTTAGATTCAGTCGATCTGTCATTCGGTCTCGTCGGCCTATCGTTGGATAGTTACTAACTATAGGTAACATAGGTTTTTCAATACTATACTCTTTTTTTCTTACTTTCCATACTCGTAATTATCCCGAGAGCCTTGGTAATAAAGCTACTTTCAATATCATCATCAACAGTCTTTAGTAGTCCACTACTGTACATAGGCATCTCCTTAGAAAAGAGATTTTGGCCTCCTACACCACGCTGGCCAGACGGGTTAGTATAGGGTTTGTTTTAAATTTCCTTCTCCTTGCAGTGCTGTTGTCCTGCTTAGTTTGCTCCCTAAGTTGACTCTTACGACACCCACGGGGTGAATAGGGATGGTGACACTCCGTATTCTTAATCCATCACCACACGGTCTTTCAGTATTAATCATTTGCATGGGGAATATAAGAAAACAATAAAGTTAGACTATTATTATTATTAGTCGTCTTCATACCATCATTATTATGTTCAATTTGATGTACTCGAAATTATTAATCTTAGGAATTAAAGTCGAAGTGTTTACTAATAGCCACTGAAGAGTTTATCTATAAACCTTCTGACTTTATCATCAGATAGGCTCTAAGGTACTACATTTTCATTTAATCAAAATTAATAATTAGAAGTAGATTTAAAAAATTACTTCCGAAGTTAGTTTTGTTACTTTATAAAATCATAAAATTGAAGCTAAAAAGTGTCAAGAAGGAATAAACATATACACTTAGTTTCTTTTATTCTATAAATTCATTTATATTATACATAAAATAATAATAATGAAAATGGACAAATTCATGAATACAAACATTTGTACTTAACTGAATTATTTTGAAACCATCTAAGTATTTTAATTATTTTTTCAGCTGACTACTTCCTATCATGCAAAAGGACCGACCCTCAAATTGACAAATGTATCTTGGACGGCATCAACGCAATGAAACCCCAAATCATAGCGGGAATACCTGAAGTGGACATTCCTCCGTTAGACCCATTCACTGTACCGACTTTGAAGCTGGATAGAACAGCTCCCAATTTGCGGATTAAGGCTACAATTAAACATGGAATGGCTTATGGCGCAGAGAACTTCAAGATCGAAAAACTCAAGTAAGTTGAGAATAATTTTGTAGAAAATGTTTTTTTTTTAGCGGTAAGTCTCGACGAATCATATAGTGACCAACAAGCTGATCTTACTACCAGAGCATTTAGGAACCGATAAATTTAAAAAATATAACGGAACTGAGTTCAAAATATTACGGATAGAGTTCCATCTACAAATAGGATACGGTTATTGGTGAAGTTAATATTTGCCGGTTTTAGTAGTTTCAAAATATTACATTGCATGACTGCACGGATGGCGTAGTGGTTTAAGAACTTTTCAAATTGATCTTGTAATGCAAAGAGCTAATTTTTTTTTTCATAAAGTCATTTAGGATATAAAGAATTCGTTACGCATGTGTAATATTCGTAAAAATGAAAACATGTAATCATAGAATGTTAAAAGTCACCAATTAAATCAGAAAAATAATTACACTCAATGATTTAATGCAATCCTAAAGTAAACCGCCACATAATTGACCAAAACCGTATATTTACAAACACGTAGGTATGTAGTTTGGTCTAATAATAAATAAACCACCTTTTTATTTTCTTAAGATGCTGTGATAATATGCAGCGAAAGGGTTATGTTATGTCAGACAGATTTTTAGCATCCGGTTGCGTGTTACACGGTTATGACATAGAATTACTAGAAATTTAAACCGGCTACTTTGATCTTGTGATATAATACTTTTAAGTCAACTGTCACTCTTCGTAATTGTTGTCGTAGTTGAGAGGATTAGAGACCGTAGTTCATGTAATAAAAGGTAGGTAGGCCTTTGGGCGTTGACACTTGTGCGCCGAATCATTTTCGCCAATCCAAGACTACGTAATTTGAAAATTCGTGCCTATTAAGGCGTGAAATGAAAAGGACAAAAATATTATGGAATGAGGGTTTAAAACCCACTCAGTGCATGAAATGAACCCACTCCTAACCTAAGCATTTAGTATAGCTAGAGGATTTTATAAAAATACTAGTAATATGTGACCCACGTTGCAAGTACCTACCTATAGTAAATATAGAATATTAAATTAAGTAAACAAAAAAGTCAAATATAATATTCATTCATTTCATTTATTTCAGGGTAAATCTAAACAACAAGTACGCAGCGGAAGTGAAACTAGTAATCCCAAAGCTGAAGGTGACCGTTGACTATGATATCCGTGGTTCCCAGATCCTGACCCTTGATATTAGCGGCAAGGGAAAAGCTGTTTTAAATCTGAGTAAGTTGGTTTAATAAAATCTTAAAGCATAGTATGGCACTTAAACACAAAAATCTTATTATGAGCTTAATACAGCATAATAATAATTAGGTTAAATAAAAAAAATTACTTAGCATCATCATCTTTCGGCCAATTTTATTTGGGAATGGCGCAATGTGTCAAAGATTTTAGAACGTTTGTGTTACGGCCAGCTGTCTGGCAGACGCCAACCATTCTTAGGAATATAATTATGGTTCTCACACGGGACAAAGGAACAATATAAATGGCAATTGTATAGGACAATGAAGCTAGCAAAAGGAAAGACTAAAAGTTTCAGATGGCAAATGGAGCTGAGACTTCAATAACTCAGAGAGGCCAGACTCGTATAGCATCACCAATTTTAGCTTACTTAAAATAACCCTTCATTATCACCATCATACTCGCGAGATGAGTATTGGATGACTTAGGCCATTCCTAAATCATCTACATGATGTTGAGCTTGCGTCTTCTTACGTAACTGTGACTGAAATTTTAATTGGCAAAGTTTGAGCGTTTCACATGCCTCTGTCCACGCTGTCAAAGATTTAGACGCAAATGTAGTACGTAAGTTGTTAAGTCATTAAGTATCCAGGAAAAAGTCACCGTTTGATTCCGTTCTTATTTGCAGTTTATCGAAAAATGTTTCAGAATTTGAGACTTGACAAAAGTTTGGCAAAAGAGAGATACAATATTAAAGGATTAGAGCAATATTAACTAAAAGTAGGTGAAGCCTTTGAAGTCGTGATTATGCTTATAGAATTTAGGTATTTACATTTTGACTGCCTTGTTTGCATCATTATCAATAGCCTTTAATAGTCCAGTGCTCGACATAGTCTTCTCCTTAGTAAGGAGGTTTTGAGCTACCATACTACGCTGGCCAGACAGGTTGTTTAGGCATGGTAATGTTGTATAATGTTAATTACGTTCATAACAACAGGTCAGGTAATTATAACTAGCAGTCCCTAACATACCTAAATCCTCCTTTGAAAAGATTTTAAACAATTATAATATTTATTTACAAAAAAGTTATATTAAATGTTAAGTTATGACTTGTGGTAATCTATATCACAACATTAAGGCGTGTATTTACTATCATTACCATTCTTTTAACTATCAAATTCATTTTCGTAATTAAATACTCTATAATGGTAGCACCATCCACTATCAGCTACATATACTTTTACTGCTGATTGTCTTTCTATTGATTGAAGAACAACAAAACTACAACACGTATTATATTGCTATCTATCTAAACTAATGAATAATTTGATTTGATTTGATGAAAAAGATGGATGAAAAGGATATAGGAGAGCGAAATATGATATGAACCTTAAAACGTATTATCTCTACCGAACAATCACTCAGCAAATCATAAATCCTTCTCAATGACAGAATTAAAAAGTTAAATATATATAGAAGTACTAATATTTGTTATCATGCAAATCTTTTTGAATTGCGTAAGTTTCCACAGTCAAGATTGTTCAGGGTCAATGATTTAAGTACAGTTGTTGTATTCTCTATAGAAGTTGTTATAAAGCATCTGTTTCTCGCGGTTTTGCTCACGATCAATTTTGGTTACAAATCTCTCTTTTTGTACTGTTTACCAGATTTGTTGTTTATGCGTCAAGTACATACATCTGTCAGTTATATAGACCTTGATTTATTTTCAAACCTTAAATATTTATTTTAATCAGACCGGCAGATCCTGACAGTTAAATAAACAAAGTAACAAACGTAAAAAGAAGTAAGGAAAATATAAAATGGCTCATACGAACTGTTTCGATGCCCCAGTTGTCCAATAGATTTCTATAAAAGAAAAGTCTATATTCACTCTATATTTAATCACCATATCGAGGGCTGAACTCCACTTGTCACCAAGAGTTTCCTTGTTTTAAAATAAAAGTTCTACACATACACAATATAAATAAAATAAATAATCTTCTTCCACAGCCGGTGTTACCGTGATAGCGAAGGGTATCGGCAAATCTGTTATCAAGGATGATGTTGAATTCCTGCAAATAGACAAAATCGTTACTAAAGTGAGACTCAATAACGCTCACATTGACCTTGTCGACAGCCAAAGTCCAGTAGCAGGTAAACATTTAAATATAAATTACTATTATATAAGTGAAAGCAGTCTGATGATAAACGAAACAGCAACAAGAAGTAAGAGAGAGATCCGGAAGCCCAAGTCTCTCCTTAATCCTTGAGTGGGAGGAAGGATTGCCGGTATCCATCGGAGACGGCAGTCACTTACCATTAGGTGTACCGTCTGCTCGTTTGCTTCCTGTAAAATGAAAAAAGATAATAGTACCATATACTGGACAGTTTTGTTTGTGGACTCAAGAAATGTATTTTATGCGTCGAGTAAAGGTTAGTTGGGTGAGCCAACCAAGCTCCTCTTAGGAGCGCAGAAGCCTCCCGGGGGCATTCACAGGCTTCAAAGAGCGATTTTGTATCAGTTATGATACTTGCCCATTGTGTGGCCACTCCCTCGCATACCAGGATTACGTTGGCCGCCGTTTCTTCTACTTGTAGGCATTCCCTGCAAAGAGGACAGTAAGTCGCATTAATGGTGAATAGTTGCCGGTTCAGGGCTAGGTGTCCTGTTATAGTTCCTACAACCATTCGAATGTCTAGTCTGCTAAGATTGATCAGTCTGACAGTCTCTGATAGAATTCGGATGTTATAGTCCTTAATAACCCTTGACATGGCCGTTGTGGCGGCATAACTTATTGCCACACTTTCGCATTGGAATATGGAACTGTGTTGGCCTAACGCTTGTGATATATTCATGTTCATTCGGACTTCGTTAATGCCGGATTAATCTCAGTCGTTTTCTTGTATCTGCATCTGGTTTTGTAAAGATATGGTATTTTGGAATCCTATCGCATGGGACTGCTAATAGTGGTTCATATTTCACTATTTGATACCATAATTTGGATTGCGATTCCTCACCTTTATGCTACAAATCCAGGTGTCTGCGTCTAATGATCGCCATGGCGGTCTCCCGCTGTATGAACAAATCCAATGGGGGCAGACTAAGAACCACCTCTAGTGCGGCGGTTGGTGGCAGTATACTAGAAAATTTTATGGAAGCAAAACTGTAAACTGCAATTTTATATAACCACAAGTAACCCCAGATTATACAGTACATACAGAGTATAGACAGGCACAGGAAACAATGCATATTAAAAAGATATTTACTCGTACATACTTGTTTTGATTACCTTTGCAATATATATTTAAAACTATTAAAAAAACTGTTTCTTACTTTTCTTACAGCATCCTCAGCAGCATCCTTCTTCAATGCAAGTCCACAAGTTATACTCGACATTCTGAACCCCCTCATCGAAGAAACCAGTGCTAAAATAATAAAGGCTTTCGGTGACAAAATATTGGCTAAAATACCTATCAGCGAAGTCTTAACTGAAAAGAAATAGATTATAATATTGTAGGTTAAGTTGTAAATAATACTGATTAGATTTAGATGGTGAATGATATGAAGTGAATTAAAAGTAGACTATTTATAATTAGATTAGATAACATTAATGATATGTTTTAAACAATCATTAAACCAGAAATATGTGTTTTGAGCATATGAGAATATACCCCACATTTCAAATCAGTACAATTAGTCCAAAGGTTTGGAACATTTTGAAGATATTTAGACAATATGAACATATACAGGACTATTATATTTCATCAAATCAAAAGTAAAACTGTGTAAAATTAAGAACAGTGGAGAAACAATATTGTTTCTCCGCTGTTTTAATTTTTAGATTACATTATTATTTTATTATCTACTGCATAATATGTAGTAGATAATAAAAACATTGCTAAATTGTAGAAATTGCAAACGAAATGTCATGTTCAGGTTATTATTATGATGCAAAATAAATAAATAATTAATAAAATTCAAGCTCAAGTTACGAAATATCTTTGTTTTTTTATACAAGAATGTTTTGCAAATTTAAAAAAAGTTAAGAAACTGAATTTTAAGTATGTAAATATTTATCTGTGATGTTTATTTTTTAATTTACTGTACTACATTTTATAATGCTATTATTGTATAACACATTATTGCGAAAGCTGCTATAAAACCGCAATGGTGTACAAATGTACAACTGTGGTTTAATAGTAAACTGCTCGTCAGTAAGTTGTTAATTTAGAAAGGAGGAAATGATTTCATGCGTAAGAAATTATTCAGTTTTAAAATGTATGTACTACTTATAACTGTAAAACCTGATTAAAATTGAAAACATTTTACCTAAACATACTAAACCATAATTTCTAACATATGTATTTAAGTTGAGAAAGGCTGTCAATAACTTAAGATTGAATTCATAAAAAGTAAAATAGAAATTTATTAAAAAACTGTAAAACTTAAAATGTTTTTTTTTCGTGTGAGGAACTCCCCTCGGATACCACCCACCAGTGGGGCGATTATGTCGGACTCGAACCGACCAAAAATCGCACGTCGTCTCCATGTAATAGTAGCCAGGGAACCAGGTATACCCTAGAAAGTAAAGCCCTGGTACCCCGACGTACCTCAGGCCATCTGCGGCTTATAGATAACCCTTCCCTCTGGCGTCTTTTTTACACTATTTATAATTATACTCATTCGTTTTACACACTGCTATCTAGATGCAAGATAAGCTACGGCCATTAAACATAATTATTTAAATACTTTATTTATATTCAGTGTTAAGTCATCAGTCTCGAACTAACAGTAATCCTTTTTATTTACTTACTCAAGAGAATAATCACATTCTTTTAATACAAGAGAAAATACAAAATAAATATAGTAAATAACAAGTGACGCTTTTCAATTACATGTTATTGTTACATCTAAGTAAATAAGTAGTATAAAAGTTTTGTTAATAAATGAAGTGGGTAGCTTCCACAAAACAAAATTTATTCTATGAATGAATTTTAAAAGGGAATATTAGCTAGCGATTATCTAGAGCAATTATCTAGCGACTCGAATATTGCCTTAGTAAGAATTACATCCCATTAAAATATAACATTAAAAAATGCTAGTCCAGACATAACTAAAAGAACTATACAAAAAGTGGAAAACAAATTCACACTAGCTCACAGATATACATTTACATGTACATATATTTGTTGGTCATATTTATAATTTGTTTAGGAGATATTTGTAATTTTAAAAGAATTTCGCAGTTGCCGTGGTTACGTGGTTACGGTTACAAATTAATATAATTATAGGATGCAATAGCCAGTAGAGCAAACACCTCTACATATTAACGCAGTGGTATTTCGTGGAATAATTAATGGAATCGAATTGGTGTAGCATATTTTGTGGCAAAGATTCTACCGGGGGATTTCGTCTAGGCGCGAATAGGTAACCTACTTTGATGTACATATATACATCTAAAAACCTACTGCGTAATTATTCACTGAATAATTATTCTTGCCTTTGTTTTAGTTGCTTTAATTAATTCTATTTATTTTTAGTGGGGAAGTCCCTTTAGACGGGGATTTATAAAAATTTCATTTACATTGCTAAAGTAATTTAACCATTATTAATTTGTCGTCAATTTATGGCCAATCCAGTGCTAGGGTTTTTCTACCGAGGTAGAATTCATGATAAACAATTAAAAAATGAGAACAATTTAAAAAAATAATGGAGATCTATGCATAATTAGAAAATAAATAATATCAAAGAAGTTTTATCTTGATATATATAGTTCTTCGTATCGTATACGACTAAACTTCTCCTAAACGGCTAGATGGATTTCTATGATTTTTTTTGTGTGTGTTCTAGTGGATCCGAGAATGGTTTAGATTTAAAAAAACTTGTTATTTTCGGATTTAAAACTTGTGTACCTACAGAACAACGTCTGCCAGGACAGCTAGCTATTAACACAAAATAGTTTTTTTTTTTTGTAATTTCGACCCATTATGCGAAATGTGTATTGTTTATAACGAAAAAAGAAAATTTTAGCCTAGTTTTTTTTTTATCACTTATGTATATCCAGGTCTTTGTCAATGATAAATCAGTCAGGTCTTTTAATGTACTCAAATTTACCATCGTTGTTCTTTTCTGTAATACCTCGAAATATAGTAATTGAGATGAGATGTCATCTGCTATTTCACCAGACACCAGTCAAGCTTTGGCAAATACATCAACACGCTAAGTGTTTCCTTCCTTTTTTTTTGACTGTGCGTGTTTCCTTGTTTGTTGTTTCCTTACTGAAATGGTAATTTAAATATAAAATAAAATAAAAATAAATACTTTGTTTTTTTATGCCTTGATTTCTTACCTCGCCTTGAATTATGATATTTTAATGCAGGGTTATTTCCTTTGTTCCTGATATGAACGTTGAGGTCAACCTAAAGATGATCAAAAGAGAAAAGTGGAAACTATCTAAGTCAGAGCCATTTAAATAAAATGGCTCTGACTTAGATAGTTTCCACTTTTCTTTAGTTACACCAGTAAACCGTTAATATATAATTTTAAATCCGATGATTGCCTAGTAAGGACGTAACGCTGTAGATCTTAATTGAATTAGTACGCCTGAATAAAATAAGCCAAGATAAAAGCTTGTCTGTGATCTCCTCTTAAAACATTTAATGTGAGGTTCCGGAATTTTGCCATCACTTGTGTTTAAAGCAAACACAAGCTTCAAGCGATAAAATTCCGAAACTACCTTTAAATTATATTACAACGATAATTATTTTTTGCATTACAATTTTGCATTTTATACTTCTAAAACATTTCTAACAAGTAAAAATCGACGCCAAGAAAAATTAACGAAAATTTTCAACAAAATTTACCGTTCGTTTAATTTTAATTGTAAACTGGTTTTAAAACATATTATCGGCTCTATGGCGGCTCATGTCACCTAATTTCTGAAAGACAAAAAAGATAAAAAGTATAAAACATTAAGAACTGAAAATGAACCATAAAATTTTTCGGTCGTCTATTGTTTAAACTACTATAACTGCATTTTTAAACTAAAATATATTGTCTGACACCAATCACAGAAATAAATGTGCTTTAATGTGAATTTACAATGTAATTACAGTTACTTGTTATCTCCAATCCTCCGAAAGTGACTGAGTGACTGAGAGTGAGAAAGTGAGCTCAGAATACACAAAAATTTAATTTTGGTACTAGTTGACTTCTCTGCTGTTATTCTGCTCTAACTAGGTACTTAAAATTTAAAAAGTTTGTGTGAGATCCTCCTCATGTAAAAGAATCTAATTACATCTTAAGCTATCAAAGAGTCTAAACGTTACATCCATGTCAAGATATTTGTTCTATTTTTAGCTGGCAATAGTATCTCTTGTAAAGGATTAAGGATATAAACTGGCATCAAGACCACGACAGTCATGTATAAGGTCGTGGCCAGTTTGCCCTTTTCCTGTTTTTCGCAACAAATTCACTTCCTCAATACGCTCCAATTATGTGTGTAAATGGAGCAAAGCGGTATTGGAATTTAAATGCATACGATAGGTTTTTAAGATCCAGTGTTTTTATATTCATAAACAACTTTCAAGCTCAATCCAAGGTTGAAAAATGCGTACAGTAGTCGTACTTTTTTATTTGTTGATAAGATTATTTACAAACTCTTAACCTATTATATAAATAATATGCTTTTTTGTGATTATGCACTTTAAAAACAACTTTGAAACCTGATGCCATGTAGATTTTTTTTCAGATTAGGATTCGATTTTTCGAATCGAATTACACATGTAACTATGACGAACTGTTAATCCAGTACTGACATACTATCACAACATGAAAGTGTGTGGCTTTTTGTAGTCATGCGATCCTATATAGAATAATTAAAATTTGCAAAATAATTAGCTCGACTATTTCCACCGAAGCACCCTTCAACTTACACTTATTCTACATTAATTACTTCTATTTACATGTTGATGTATGCACTATTCTTTGATATGCGCATACGTCTAGAACTTCTTGCTTTAGCCCTGGAGATCTGATTCGAGGCTTTTGCCAGATATGGTAGCTGACTTACACATCGAAGCTATTATAAGACACAATTTCCTATTAAGTATTTCAAAACAACGTAGATTCTAAGCTAGATAGGTTCTAATATGCGACGTTTTAAGTTAATATTTTTCGTATTTTGTGCTCAAAATGTGATCGCAGGAAGAGTTCCTCAAACGAATCAAGCAGAAAACAGTGATTATAAAAAGACATTTACTGGTAAGTTTTAAATTACAATCGACGTAAATGAATTCATTCATTATCGGTAATCTATTCTTTTAGGGAATTAAATTTACCGGATACTATTAGATAAACTTCGACGGTCCTATTGGGAGCGGCTCAGTGGTTAGCGATTCTGACAGTCGAGCCAAAGGTCGTGGGTTCAATTCCCACCCAGGGCAAATATTATGTGAAGAAGTTTGATCTTTTTTCATATATACTCGTATTGGTATAGTTGGTTTATTGTTTTATGTAACCAAGTTTTGTTGATCAAATTTTTAGATATTAAATTAGTGTGATAATCAGCAGTCCGGTTATCAAAGTACAGGCCTAGCCAAGTTAGGTGTCAAACAGTTGTTATTATTTTTCAATTTTATAGGCCAGACTTCAAATTTTTAGATATTAAAGTTCCAGCGAAGTGTTTACCAAACTTATTTGAATTATTCTAGAGAAATCAGCATGCCATTATTCAGATCCGAATGTTGCTGCCTGCATTCAGCGTATTGCAGAGCAAGCGAGGCATCTTCTCGTTCAAGGAGTACCTTCCCTTAATATTCAACCATTAGAGCCTCTGAAGATACCAAGTATCAGGCTGAGGCAGCACAACATGCCCAAAAATGTCTTCAAGTACGACGCCTGGTTTTCTGATGTTACGCTAGAAGGACTAACCAACTATACATTCAATAAATTAGAGTAAGTATATAAATGGAGTCATTATCACGCTAAACTTATCATAAATATCACCATTATATTGAAAATACAATATATTTCAAGGTCTATTAAAGCGAAAAGTTATTTTTAGCAATAAGTTTTATTATACACATTTAATATTTTTATTTCACAAAATGCTTGAAAAAATACATGCTTAGTTTTTTCTTACGAGCTCACGATCACCTGATGGAAAGTGATAACCGCCACTTATGAACGCCTGCAACTCAGGAGTTACAAGCGCGTTGCCGGCCTTGTAGGAAGGCGTACGCTCTTTCGAGTTCCTTGGCGCATCGATGCTCACATATTTTTCATATATATAGCAAACATCTACCAAAAAGCGAAAGAAACCTCGTACCAACCAAGGGTCCATAGCCCTCACGCCATTTTATTATACATGAAGTAAAACCAAGTCATCATCATCGTCGTCGTCGTTTTTATTTTTGTTAAATTTATTTGGTTCTTATTTGACAAAACAGAGATTGTTGCTTTTGTGTGTGTTGATCTATGACTTTAGAGTCTACATGGAAGACGATTTCAAACAATTTTGGAAATTTTATGAAATAAAGAAAGTTTGAGTTTGAGTTTGAGTCACTTGGATCGATCTAGCGTTGAAACACACTCATTTCCACACCACCCTAAGGTAGACTGGTAGAGAATGCCTATGTCATTAAGTCCGCAATTGTACTTATGTGCATAAAGTTATTAAATAAAATAAATAAAATCTATCGTGGGAGAGTGGTGCTTCTGTACATCCGAACCAGGCTCGACCGTAGTGACACTACAACCTCACAGTGTAGTGTTTGGTTACTTTCATCGAATAGGCCTCTCCTTAAAAAGGAGTAGTTGACCTACTATACCACGCTAGCCAGACGGGCATGTATAGGGTTTGTGTCAAGTTTTGCAGTGTTGTTGTCCTGCGTAGTTTGCTCCCTTAGTCGGCTCTTACGACACCCACGGGTTGAATAAGGGTGGTGAGACTCCGTATTTTTAATCCGCCACCACACGGACAATCATTACATCGAGCCTTAATAAAATTCGAAAAAAGGCGCAAAAATTATGTTGTTGATGAGTAACAATAATAATAATAAATATATAATATTAGATTTATGTTTATTCTGATTAACAATTATATTGCAGTGTTTACCCGGAAGAAATGAAGGTCACAGCAAACATCAGCATACCTCATTTACTCATGGTCGGAGAATATATGGTCCTTGGAAAGTTCCAAATGCTGCCAGTTGAGTCCACGGGGAAGATGCTCGCAAATTTTAGTAAGACCAAACCCTAGCAACCCGACATAAACATATTCTCCCTTTTATAACTAAATTAAAAAACGCTTTTGATTGTATACTTGATGCACGTATGAATTCTTATACATTCGTAAAATCAAAAGAAATGTAATAGATAAAAAATTATTAGCTGTGTTTACGAAACGCCTTCCTGGACATACCCAAAGAGTTAAAAAAATATTAAGCAGATAAGCGGACTCTACCTACTTAAAATAACCAACTAACTTCAATTAAATAGTTAGAAAACGAATATATTCTGATTATTTTCTTTCTATAGCTGAGTGCACAGCAGCACTAGAAGCTCTAGGCGCCCGCGTTCACAAACGAATGATTATACGAGATGCCACAGTCCATCTACGATGTACCGGTCCTCTAAAAGCAGACCTTATGGAAGCACACTCCACCACCGGAGAAATGGGTACGCATTTTTGTATATAACCAAAGTAATTTATGGTATAGAATATAATAATTATATATATATACTAGCATTTTCATGCGGCACCGCCAGCGTGAATATCGGTTGTCGCGCTAAAAAATAGCCTATGTTACTCGCTGATATTGAGCTTTCCAGAGGTGAAAGAATTTTTAAAATTAGTTTAGTGCTTTAGGCGTGAAAGTGGCGTAACAAACAAACAAACCCACTATCACATTTATAATATATGAATGGATATTAATTCAGCATAAGAAGATCATTTCTTATGGAGATCAAGGTAAGGCACGTGATTAATAAGGACTAACTCACCAGCTGCGCGAAACGGTAATCATTCCTAATCAATGCAATGCAATGCTAGTAGCATGTGACGGAAGATTCTTAAATCCTACAAAAAGGTAGAACAAGTATACTCTTTTAATGGGACTGTAGACATGTAAGCTTAACTGACCCTTATAGCTGAATGAATAACATAAATCATCCGTATTATCGAAGAATCCTTGCTCTAGTCTTCTAAACATGCTCTGGATTGTAAAAGTATTTTAAGAACATGTGAATTTATTCTGTGATCGCACAATCATGACTGAGGTGTAGGTTTTTTAGGAGTAAGTTTCAATCAAAGGAGATCAGGTATATAGTATGTCTGATATAATTTTGCTTGATTTTAACATAATTTATGGAAATAGGAACAACGTTGTTAGTCGAGCACATCACCGTATATGCAGGTCTTTCTTTTATGGTGAGCCAGTTCTTTAGGTTTTCAGTAAGCTTTAAATATCTATGTCATTTCAGAAATGATAACAAATCATATAGCATCGATGCACTCGGCTGATATAGCCAAGGAAGTCCAGCCGGCTGTGGAAACTGCTCTCGCCATGGTTCTAGAAGATATCGCCAACAAGTTCTTGAAATATATTCCGCCTGATATGGTATTCGCTAATTAGAACTATTAAAAAGTTAGAATAAGTATTTTTGTGATTGGTGCTCATTTATATTTGACGGGCCTGTTATTTTAATTTATTAATAAGATGTATTTATTTAGTAATATAATAGAAGTATGTTTATCAATAGTCTGATTATCATAGTCCAGGCTCTGCGTAGTTTAGGATCCGACGGCCGTGTTGAGATATACATATGAGGTTATAATTAGGGTATTATATGTATGGTAGGGGATTTTGTTATATAAATATCGTAAATTTATATTAGATAATTAAGTTGTTCATAGGTTTGATAATTTTATACTATGTATTTTTAAGTTTGATGTAAAACCTTATTTATTTTTTGTATATTGAATACTTAAACTAAGTGATCAAGCTATCTCCAGATAGATCAATTTCTGCAACCATATAATGTCTTAATTTAACTTCGATTATTATTTAATTGCGCCATATATGTACATTTTAGTATCACAAATATTGTGATTATTTATTTAATGCTTGTGGGTAAGTAATTAACAATATTAAACGAGTACAATTCCAATTAAAAGGTGTAAAATGAGCATGTAGATTTTAAATTATTCATTTTATTTAAATACAGAGAACTAGCAAAATTACTGTTGTTTAAATTATTTATTTATTGTATACACTCAACACATAATAAAAGATGAGTTACAGATATGTAGACGCAACAATCGGCGGAATTAACATTTTCACGTGAATATTTAAAAATATAAAAAAAAAAATTTATAATTTAAAAGTATTTATAATGAAAAATAAAAATCCTGTTTTAGCTTGTTGGATTCTCTCATGCAAATGTTCCAAAGCAGTAGCTTGCACGGTAAAAGATTTGCCTGCAATTTTTTTTTTACTTAATAACGTAACTTTTAAGTTAAGTATATATTGGCATTTGATCTCACTGTTATAAATATTAACACCTGATTTGACTACTATAATCGTCAAATGCTGACTGGCTATGCTGCACGGATGGTGTAGTGGTTTAAGGCGGGTGGGTCCATGTTGGGGGGATCGATCCCCCCAAACATGGAACACCACTTTGTGTGATCCACAAATTATTGTTTTCAGTCTGGGTGTCCTTTTCATGTATGTCTGTAAAGTCCCCTGCGACACAGGATAATTAGTAATGCGATAGTTGTCTTTTTAGCAAATAAAAGAAAATTGAGATATCGGAGGCAAAACGAACATCTGATGATAGCGACTGAGAGGCAGTCTCCAACTGCCCCCACAATTAAGGGGGAGGGGTGGTTTGGGTATTCGATAACGTCATGCATTCGGTGAAAAGCAACGAATGAATGTGTTAGGGTTTTATATTAAATTAGAATTGACACCGGATTTCTGTGAAGCTGTGGTATAACTCCGGTTGAGCTGATTTGATAGAATTATGAAGTACAAAAAGGCAATGTAAGTGATAAGTATTTAACGCCTTAACTATTCAACACATACTTTGTTATGTACATAGTGGTTGAGAAAAAGAGAAGACTTCCTTTTGGACACAATTGAATTGACTTGACTTCTAATTAACTGATTCATCATCATCATCATCAACAGCCTTTAATAGTCCACTGCTGGACACAGGCCTCTCCTTAGAAAGGAGGTTGTGGCCTACTATACCACGCTGGCCAGTCGGGTTGGTTTAGGGGTTGTGTCAAGTTTACCTTCTCTTTGCAGTTTTGTTGTCCTGCATAGTTTTCTCCCTTAGTCGGCTCTTACGACACCCACGGGATGAATGGGGGTGGTGTCAATCCGTATTCTTAATCCGTCACCACACGGACAATTAACTGATTGCTTCTCGCTAATACATAAAGGAAAATATCTAAAAGTCGTCAAATCATTGTTTGTCAAAAAATGTTTTATTTCAAACTGACATTAGGTATGCGTTTGGAAAATTGATAGCGTCAAATACCGATGTGGGGGAAATCATTTTCAGAACATATTTGTCCCTTGGTAAAAATCTATTTCCAAGTTGGTCGATTGCCATACAAACTTGTGTCTAGGTATATTTACGTCGTCCACGTCTGAACGAAATCCTCCGTAGATGACTCAGGTTCTTACTGATAATAATCGTATCAACTGCTTTGAATTACCATTCAAATGACGGAAGAAGTAACGAGATCTTTATTATATAATTTTCATGCTAACTGTAATAAAATGAACTCGAACGATGCTAATCTGTATCGCACCGATTTTCTTATTTGTGAATATGCGATATTGAACTTTGTTTCAACAGTACAGAGGTTATTGTGCAATACCCTATAGTGAGCCAATCTGCGAGGGCATGCGGTCAAACTAAGATGATGTTACGTCACACAACAGTGTTACAAGTCACACCCATTAAAGTTTACAACATTATTCTGCAATAATCAAACTGAATTCGAAGCTAATTTGGATAGCGCTGGAGTTGAAATTCGCACGACATCAGTAAATAGATTGTTTTAGGTCGAAGAACACCAAAGGTGCTTTGTCACAGGTCAATTGCAATATCGTATTTTAATGTAATGTTTAACATGTGTATGTCTAGACCAGTACACTTCAGTCCAACCTATGTCCATAAAGGTGGCATAAAAAAAGACAGTAAGTAACGTTCTGGACACTTTGAAAACTTCTTCGCAGAAAAATAATACTGCAACAGAGGCTAAAAGGTTAATTTGGTTTCGGCAGTAGGAAAAATGCACAAATAACATACAAAAATCGCATTCTAACTATGCTGTCCAATTCGTAGCCAGTCCTTAAACCATTTCAGCTTTTTTTTATATTTAAATCTATCATACAATAAACATATCAGAGCATGATCTCTACTCCACGGGGTGAAAACATAAAGTTTATAATTTCATAACACAGAGGAGAGAAGGTTTTAACAAGAATATACACGAAACCTACTATTTCCGTATTGGATTGTTTATTTAATTTAGCTAGTCCTGTTAAAGTTTTTTTTAAATTATACAATCAACCTAAATTAAGAATAAATACTGCTATATTATATAGCAGTAAAATGTTAGCCATCAGTACCAGAAGGCTGTTAGCCAGAAAGTATTTAGTGCAGCGTCCTATATTAATCAGCTCCTCATTCACTATTTGCGCCACAGAACCAGATTCTTATCCCGGTAATATTGAGCAATAGGTAAATTCTCTGAGATTCGTTATTTTGCAATATGTAATATTTTTTTGGGTTAGAAGACTATTTTTCATTCGATTTTGGGTTTGAATTTTAATATGATGTAATTATAAATTTAATTAATGGAAATAACCGATTTTGTATAATTATATTTGACTATCAATACAAGGAAAAATTTCAACCAGGTCCGTTTAGGTTGAACCTTCTTCTTCTTTTAGAAGGTTTTCTTTTAAACTTATCCCTCAGTGATTGTGTGAGTGAGGGGATTTTACAGCCGTACATTAAACGGATACTCAGAACCGGATACCCAGACTCAGCCCAACAATTTGTGGATCACATAAAATGTTATCCCATGTGGGGATCGAACCCACAACACTAGGCTAAATGCTAGGTGACAGCCTAAACCGGCACGCCATCCTTGCAGTCAACCAGACTCTGATTGAGTGACAACTTAGTTTTTTTTTGTGTTATAGGGATTAGATTGTGAAATGAAGTGAATATTAAAACCATATTTATTATTTCGAAATCATATTCTTTGTATTAACTTTCTAGTACTTTGTAGTAACGCTACGTTACGTATTGCTTACAGTATTACCACAGGCGTTCTGTGACTCAATTGTTTCTTCTTACCTATAAAATTTATTATCTTATCAAAAAAAAACGGAGTATGGTATCAGTAGAAGCTTTCAAGCCACTATTGCGATATAACGATTGTCGAAATTTATTTTTTCAGTCACGTTCAGTTCAGTTCAGTTCAGAGTCCCACTCTTGAACCGTCAACATAAACATAAACATCTTATAGGTCAAAATGAAAATTTTTATTTACTTCTTGCAATTTAAGAAACTGTAGATTTTTTAACTGGCAGGAGTCTTGTTAGTCAGTCGTTAAGCTAGATATTAGAATGGACAATAGTTAGATATTAGAATGGACAACTTGTCCATTCTAATATCTAAATTCTATGGCGATAGACAGACAAAAGCTTCTTAATAGGGTAAAACGTTAATTTTGTTATTTGTGATTCTAGAAATTTATCCTACCCCTATCCAGCTTAAATGCCTAGGAACCAGAAACAGTTATGCAATTTACAAGAAGAGAGGATGCAACGTAATAAGTATTCTCTGAGATGCATACGTGTTGCATCCTTGATAAGATGCCGATTACACACATTGTGTTCAGATAACATTAAATTCACATTGATTAACAATAGTGTTATCATCACGTTTTGGTTTATACTTAAATATGAGTTGACGAAAGATGTGAGTACTGTGACAAGATTCGTGAAAGATGTGGTCACTACTGTGCTTATTTGTCGTTGTTAGTTGTGTAGCAAGTTCGGACAAGAGTTATATTAATTGTAAGTTCTTTTTTCTTGTTTTGATTCCATAAATACTCGAAACTCATCGATTGTTGTGATGTGTTACATTTAATCGATTTAATATAGAACTCTAAAAATAAAATCGATTATAAATTTTACATCCGTGTGGTTACGGATTAAGAATACAGAGTTTTAACACCCCTATTCGTATCGTGGGTGTCGTAAGAGCCGACTAAGGGAAAAAAGAACAACAGCACTGCAGAGAGAAGAAAAACTTGACACCAACCCTATACCAACCGTCTGGCCAGCGTGGTATAGTAGGCCAAAACCTCCTTTCTAAGGCTTATGTCCAGCAGTGGACTATTAAAGGCTGTTGATGTTGATGAAATTTTACAACTTAAAAAAGTCGATCGTTAACGTCACCCTTGATGAGCACCAGTGGATCCAGGCAGCTCTGCCAATAAGATACGGGGGTCTCGGATTACGGCGTATGCTGGATGTTGGCTTGAAGGCCTTCCTAGTTTCGGCGCATGGAATTGCGGACCTTGTCGCTGTCACACTTTCTCCAAATGGTGATAGGGCGAGCATACCTTATGTGTCCGAGGTATGGCGGTATCGGCATGGTCGGCTCACCTGGAGCCATTTCCAGTGACCTTACACGTTCAGTGAGCATAGGATGACGTTGGAGCTAAGGGACTTCATAAACAAATGTTGGATACTGCTAGGGGTACCGATCTGGCGAGACTGAGGGCCGTATCGCAGTCAGAGTCAGAGGCATGGTTACATGCCTCTCACTTGGGTACCTTGCTAGACAGCGATTCTTTGCGTGTGGCAGTAGCTCTCCGCCTGGGCTGCAGGGTGTGCGAACCACATAGATGCACCTACGGTGCCATGGTAGGGGTCGATGGTCTTTACGCACTGAGTTGTCGTCGCTGCGCAGGTAGATTTTCGCGAAACCATGCCCTAAATGACATAGTCCGAAGGCTCTTATATCCGCCAATGTACCCTGCGTGCTGGAGCCATCGGGTCTCAGTAGATCTGACGGGAAGCGGCCGGATGGCTTGACTTTGGTGCCGTGGAAAAAATGCTTGGTATGGGACGCCACATGCGTTAGCACAGTCGCGGCCTCACATCTGAGTCGCACCGTCCAAGCTACGGCGGCGGCGGCGGAGGATGCCGCCAGTAGGAAGCGATCAAAATACGCCGCAATGGAGACGCATTATTATTTTGTGCCCATTGCGGTGGAGACTTTGGGCAGTTGGGGGGTCGGAAACTAAACAGGTAATTGCGGAGATTGGTCGCCGAGTTAGGGGTAAAAGGGATAAAAGTGGTGACTCCCGCTCCGGCTCGTTTCTGGTGCAAAGAATGTCCGTTGCAATTCAGCGAGGTAATGCTGCCAGTATCATGGGCACCTTTGCACCGGGAGCGACGCGGGGCGTGTTATATGATCTGACTTGAATTAAAAAAAAAAGTGAAATGTATGTGATGTATGTATTTTATTTAAATGTGATTGTATGTTGGACAATGTAGATTTGTGTGTGTATCGGGTGTGACATTATGTAATTTAATAGATTAAAATAACAAATTATTAACTTAAAAAAAGAAAATCTTTATGATAAATAGATTGGTTTATAAGAAGTAGATCTATTAATCTTATCTTTTATGGTGGGGAATTAAAAGAACTACTCGTACACAATGAGCTAAGTCGGAGCTGTAAGGTGGGTAAGGTATGGTTTCAATACCCGATTATTGAATAAAAACCTTTGTTCTGAGGGAAGAGTGTGAAGGAGCATTGTCGTGATGCAGCATCATTCCCCGGAGCCCGGTTTTTGGCAATAGGACTGTAGTATACTCAAAATCAAACTCAAACTCTCTTAATTTCATAAACATAAAATTTCATAAAATTTAAATTGTTTGAAATCGTCTTTTATATAGACTCTAAAGTCATAGATCAACACACACAAAAGCAACAATCTCTCCTACCTAGTGCGGGAGTTGTAATTTAAAAAAAAAACATATATCTGTTTCAGTTGGCAGTTTTGTCTGTCCAAGGGAAGAAAAAGCACTCGGAAAATGTCTCCAAGATGCCCTAAACACGTACATTCCTCAATTATCAACAGGTAATCTAGAATATTAAAGATTAACATGATATTTTAATCAACATTCTCTATTTGCGAATACCTGTGAATAGCTTCGTTGTAACTTTACTCTAATGTTTTACCTTGCGTTATTTGTGCTGTTGGCATTCCGAACAAAATAAAATAAAAAAATATAATGTCAGATACTCAAATTATAGAACATACATATAGTCATGTATTTTCCTCGAAGGAGTATACAGAGGCGAATTAAACGCCTACATTTTACTGACTGTAATTTGTCGGTAGTAGAATACTTTCAGTTTAAGTTTTTTCAAAAAGGAAGAATGATTCGGTGCCGATTCCATAATTGGCAACGCACGAGATTAGACAGATAGATTTCTTTTTAACTATTTTACTTGCGAAAATGTATCTTTCTGTCCTATTTTAATTTCTTTTTTTCTAAAAACATTAACGGATAACATTGTAAATACCTAATAACATACCATGGTCGTTATGTGGTACATAAAGAAAATTGATTTTAACCAATTGTATGTTAATAACGTATTCTTACATTTTAACAGGAGTACCAGAGTATGGTGTACCGCCTTGCGAGCCGCTTATCGTCCCCGCACTCTCCATCCAACAGTCTTCAGGCCCTATATCTGTGGTCTCCAGCTACTCTGACGTCACCGTGAAAGGACCTTCAACTATGCGCGTTAAGCATGTAGAGTGAGTATTTTATTTTTATTATTATTTTCGGGCAAAATCTTTGGTCATGAACTATAATGTTGTTTGGTCATCAACTACAACTTGTATTTACCATTTCCGCTTCCATAATTTCTTTTTGCGTTCCTTGTTGGCCTGGTAAATATTTTAACATAAACATTGTATATAATAGTTCTGAATGGCATTTGTTGTTGTCATATTTTTCTGCAAATAATTTCCAAATAAAAAACTGCACATTGTTTATAAACTTCTAAGAAATTCCGATTTGTGCTATCCTACTTACCTATTGTAAAATTATTATGAGCAATTTTATTATATTGTTTAACAAAGAAATAGAATCAACCTGAAAAGCTCGTACAAAATCAGTTCGTATTTTATTACAGGGTAAACTCCAAAAAACATCAGGTTATAGTGAAGCTGCACATCCCTGAGCTGAAAATGACAGGGCATTATCAACTATCAGGACAAATTCTGATGTTACCTATTGAAGGAGAGGGGGATTTTTCTGCTGTATATGGTAACGATATTTATATTAAGAGTGTGTTTTCTAGATTAAACTACTAATCTCTGGAACTAATACCGGTTTAAAATTAAAATAAGCGAGCCTTAGTATTCATATTTCATCTGATATCTCATCTAGTATTTAGCAGGCAAATACAGTACCGCGTGCGTTTATTGCTCGCTTCCACAGATCGCAGGGAATGGAGATAAAAGTTGTAACATATCAAAAATATATTTGCAATTTATTTCCTAACTTTATACTAAGCCAATTGCTCATTTATCATCGCAATATAAGTCCTATTGCACTTGTATTTCGAGGGAGGGATGCCACGAGGAAAATTAAACTATGTACACCACATTTAGCTTATGGTACCAAATGTTCCAGGTGATATTGATGCGAAGGTGACCATAATTTTGGGTCGTAAACATCGTTTGAACAACGTCGATGCACTGACCTGTAAACAGTTAGATGTCAGCTTCCATGTAGGATACGCATCTATGCACCTGGACAATTTGTTCGGCAGTGAGGGCGAACTGAGTGAGTACTATAAAACTAATTTCATACTAGGTGACCATTGGGTAAAGAATGCTATTGAGGATTAATCCAGATTGATTCATTGATAACATATTAATGATTCAATCCTGGTTCAAGCCAAAAAATTGTGAACAATTTTAAAATCAGCTGTTGGAAGTATGTTCAGAACAAAGGCCCAATTAAGTATATAATTGCTAGATTTTGTTTAAACTAGTTTACTGAACTATGAACTCTCGTTTTCAATTTTGCAGAATATTATTGTTTTCTGGTTGATGAACACGCTTTCATACATTTGCTTCGATCTTATACACGGAGTACAAATCTTATACCAGTCCAGAATATGCAGATACGATAGAATACCATTCATAACCTGATATACAGTGTGCCCCCCTTCTACAGTCATCAGACCTTTCATACACACTTGATGGTTCTTGGTTGAAGAAGAGAGAGAGAATAATAGTTCTATATTATGATTTTTTTTAACTATGTATTAAGATTGACATTTAACATTTATTCATGGTGTCGTCTTCCCAGGTAATACAATGAATAAGTTCCTGAATGAGAACTGGCAGAGCTTAGCTGAGGAACTCCAGGCTCCGATGGAGGAGGCACTTAAAGATTTCTTAAAACCACTTGCTGATCATGCGTTTGGTACACTGAATGCTGATGATATACTGTCTTCATAGAAGTGGTTTTAATATAGTATTTATTTATTTATTTCTTATTTTTTATAATAAATCACAACTTATTTCATTTTGTGTTTGATTATGGCCGTGCACCTTATATTCACGGAATGCATAATCACATCCACTAAGAGTCCTCTACTGAACCTAAACCTTAATTTTTTTTTTTTTTTTTTTACACGGACTATATAGTCACGCAATACAAAAGGATTTAAGCCTCAGCCAAGCTATCGATGTAAACCTAGGAGGTACTTAGATATATTTTTGTTTAGCTGATCAGATTAATGAGCAAACTGGTCTTGTGCAGCAGAAAAAGTGTAATCTGATAACTTAAGCCGCAATTCAATGTAAGACTTTGACTTTACATAGCTTTTTCTAGACTCTATGCATATCTCATATCTACTATGGGTAAATTTGATAGATTTGACGTAGATCGTTTGTGAAAATTAACTAATGTAAAAACTCTCTTTTTTAAAAATTGGCTCTGAATTGGATCAGTTACATTAAATAAATTTCTTTCATAATAAAAATAATCGGCAACTATTCTCTCATTGACGTTTCTGAAAAAGACATTTGGATTGCTATGATTTTTAACAACATCGTGTAAGGTTTATTCCTTTAAGAATACTTTATATTATTTAAATATTTAAGGATTATAGACTACAATTTAATAAGGAGATACCTAAGCAAATATAATAAGGAGCTCCTAAAATTTCTTTATAAAATTAAAAGTGTCTGTATCGTACTTTGCTTTTGGTTAAAGAGTGGTTGTGACGGATAAGGAATACGGAGTGTCACCACCTCTATTTATCCCGTGGGTTTTGTAAGAGCCGACTAAGGGAGCAAACAAAGTTTTACTTCTCTTTGTAGTGCGTGAACAACAGCACTGCAATGAGAAGTAAAACTTGAAAAAAACCCTATGCCAACGCGTGGTATAATAGGTCAAAAATGCATTTCTAAAGAGAGACCAATGTCCAACAGTGTACTATTCAATGCTGTTGATGATGATAAAAGAGTGGTGAAATAATAAAACAGAGTCGTTATCAATTTATTTATTATTAGGTACTACTCAAGGATCACAATCTTTACTAAATCAAATAAACGTATCTATGTCCTATATATAATCATTAAGTACAAACCACTTAATAGTAGCTAGCTGTAACTTACTGTCTTAAATAAATAAAGCTTAGTTTTATGCCTCGAAAGACTAACATCATTTCTAAGTACTACAATAATATCTAATGTATATTTTGAACATTTGAGTACACATTAAATTATTATGAAATACTACGTTGAATAGCTAATTATTATGCCATAGCCCGTGAAGTAAAAATGTTCAGGGAAAAGTTAGGTTAACTGAAGAGGTAATTTAATATTATACAAATATTGTAATGGATGCAAGCATAGAAATGACGTAATATCTACTCATATTGTGTATGTAATTCGAGATCAACAAAGAAATTAATAAAGATTAAGGTTCGACCTACTACTTAAATATTTTATTATATTGTAAAAAAGCAATATTAGATCATTTAAATTTACTTCAAACCAAGCTACTTTAGAAAACTATTTGTACTCGTTTTCATTTGTGTCAAAAAAAAATAGTTTCTCTTCAAATGCTTACACTAACAGCCTACTGAATTTGATCATACTTGCCAGAAGTTCCGAATACAATAACTCGTTAATGTTTACTGTCGGATAGTAATCAAAAACGAATTGAACGAATTCGATATTCAAAGTACCATACAAAACCGTTATTCATTCCAAAAAACAAAACAATTGATGTTACAGAAACTGTTTAAATGCGGAACAATTTTCTATTTTCCAAAGCAGAAATAAATACGTTCATGCCATTACATCAATATGATCATATTTCGTGTAAATGTAATGTAATTCATTCATGATTGCGTATGTAAGCTAAGTAGTAATGTCTAAATCATTTCAAACAATGAAGACGTATACTCGTACTTACATTGGTGACATAAAAAAAAACAAAATATGAACAGTAGTATGGATAACTGGAAATGACTCAAATTCTTATAAAATACACAGTCATACTTAATTGTTACTTATGACGTGAGCCAAACATCGATGGGTATTTTTGAGAATGCAGCGTTGACGAACGTCTGGAAGTGCTTAGCAATTGAAGCAGAAGCAGCTGGCCTCATCTCCTCGATGATTTCGGCAGCGTTGTTGTTCAAAAACTGGTTCATTGCTTCGCCTAAAATTTGTTCAAAGGATTAATAATATTATAATGACTTACGATAAAAATTACCAAAAGGACGAATAAATTACAAAAATAACTACAAAGGCTTTACTGTAAAAATATGTTGTTTTTAATGCTTGTGCTTCTTTTATGTATGAATTTGTTGACAGTGTCAGTAGCAGTCAGCTACTGACTGACAAACACTGTGTGATGAGCACGATCATTTTTTTGTGTTTCTAGGTATAGTTTATCTGTAATATGTATGTTTATCAGCAGTTTGGTTGCCGTAGTAGCTCAACCTAGAACGGTATCAGACAGCCGTGTGTAAAAAAAAAACAGTTTTAACAGTGCAGTTAAGTCACAAAAAGTTTGACTGAAGCAACACAGTAGAACACCCCTCAGCTATGTCAAACAGGGTATCAGAGTTTTCATGACATGACTACTCAAAGAAGTAACACGGCGACATCTGTGTAAATGTTATTATTCTGCTCATAGGGTCGACAAGGCGACGGCGTGCGGTTTTAGTCGGTTCGAGTCCGACATGCCACCGACAGGTGGTATCCGAGGGGATTTCCGCACGGAAAAAAAAAAAAAAAAAAAAAAAAAAAAAGGGTCGACAAGGTTATGCTAGAAATAGGATAGTGTATTACGGGTTAGTCTGGCCTCGGTTCGGTAATCTCTATGGCATATTAACTACCAATAAAGTTTGAACCTATTTATGAATTGAAAGTATAATTACAATCTATGTCTTTAAAAGAAGAAACTGACAGACTAATTCACTGGCTGATCGATCAACGCACAGCTGAAACCACTGGGTCTAGAAGCATGAAATTTTGCACAAATCTTTCTTAGGTGAAATAGATGAGCACTAAAAAGGATTTCTTCATAATTATACGCCTACAGTGGAGATAACACGGACGTGCATTAAACGGCCTTTGCTCCTGCTGCATGATAGGTTTCAATTGCTTCTAAAAAGGGGTAAACTTATACAGAGAATCTCACTAAGTATCTTAACGTAATTATATAACAGGATAAGTTGTTGTAACCTCTAATGTTGAAACAATATTTGGTCAAAAAAGTTTTTGTAGTCCAACCCAAGATTCCCAATGCCAACTAAAGGGTAAGATAGATTGGTGATAGGTGAGAAAACCAATAAGATTAAGAGTATGTTTCATGTACATATAAAAAAATACATATAAATAATATACATAATTTACATTTTAAAAAAAGTATGTTTCATATAACATTCCATTATTTTCTGTAACTTGTCATAAATATCTGCTTTAACGTTGCGTGTCTCATAATATTATGTTTATTATATATTTTTTGTAGCAATTTCTGTTTTATTTACATTAAAATACCGATGAACTGGTAAAAAAATTGTTTAATAATATGTTTTTAAAGGTAGATTAATAAACCTAACTTAACGTAAATTTTTATTAGTTATTATTGTAATTCATTGACGACTAAGTGTCTAATGTTTTTTATGAGTTATCCTTTTCAAAAGCGATAAGTACTTACCAATAATGCTTCCGTGGTTTACAGTGTCCCGGACCTTGAATCTTGAGGTCCTTAACTTGAAGTCCACTAGTAGTCTATCAGCCAGCATATATTTAACATTGTCCCGCGTACTCTCCTTGCCAAAAATTTTCGCTATCGCCACCACATCACCTGAAATATGTTAGTAATATTTGTTATATTTAACTTGTAAATTACAAGATTGTTGGTGGATGTAATGTTCTAGGGGTATATTACTGAAATTTAAGACACAAATGTATAGAATTTAAAGAAATATGAAATTTAGATTACCAATACTGATGATTAATATATCACAAAGAAACAACGAAATTTTAATTAAAATGTGTGTCATCCAAAAATAGTGCATTAAATATTTACCATTATAAAGTCCGATAGTGATTATTTTTAAACGGTAACGGGAAAAGTAAGAATAAACACCAGGCCAAAAAAATCATATAATAGTAATAAGCTTGCTAATTGTTTGTTTTATAAATTATTATATTTTATTCTTTGTTTTATATTAGTTCAATTAAGTGTTAAAATTACATAGATGTTTTTTCTAATTTTAGTTTTACTAACACTATGTTAACTCTATTATGCATGTTGTGACGCCTTACGAGTATTTTAAGGCGTCACAAATTTTGCAGTCAAATCAGTCAGCCATTTTTCAAGCGTCACAAGTTTTCGTCAGGTTTTGCATTAATCTTAATATAATAGATGCATGCTTTAGATTGTAGTAAATAATGTAACAACTACTGGCTGTCCAATAAATAAATAAATTGTATAATATGTCATATACATATATAAGAAATCTGGTTTTAAGCTAATTTCTCCTAAAAAATGTAAAAAAACTCACCAAATGACGCCCAGAAGTCACCTTGTGATCTAACAGGGAAGAGTAGAACTTGACCTGACACCTCATAACGTCCAGTTATCTCGATACGCGGCAGTACAAGACCCATGTCAATACGGAGTTTCTTCACGTCCGACCTGCATAGAAAGCATTCCTTTTGTGTCTTTGTACACAAATAGGCGAGTAAATTGAGTGAATTCAACATGATTCTTAATACAAGACATTCTAATTTACGAGCGTGTCTTAAGAAACTTGAATAATAAACTCGTGGTGACTTATAAATAAAAATACATATAAAATATTTAGAAACATTTAAAATTTTAAATATTTAGTAATATTTTAGAAACTATAAACAACAATTGTTAAGCTTCTTCCAGTGTTTTATGTCAAAATAATGATTGAACAAAATGATGACACTGGAATTGAATATTTCTGCGTAGGGACAGAGGGAGCATTTTTACAAGCAGTCGTTAAAACCGACCTGGTTATAATGGCGCAGTCTTGTATTTTAATAATTTTATAGTGATTCACTTACTAACTAAAAATGTAGTAAAAATTAATGTAAACTAAAGCAAATGTTGGCAGTAAATTTTAACCTGCTTGTAATAGTCGTATCGAAACGAAATTTAGTTTGTATAAACATATATGTTAGCTGTGATAGCAGTATTATAATTTGATATATTGGAGTTCATTTGAGAATGGAGTCCAGATGAGGTGTTGGTATTGCTTGGAGGTTATCAGTAAATGCCATGAGTGAGAGAACATTCGATTTGTTTTCGTTAGAGAACTTCAGCGTGGTAATAAGGGTCCAATGATATCAGATAGTGAAGGTAGAAATTTGGACAGGGTGCTTATTCAAATGGTATGTTTAGATACATTAAAAAATAAGAAGAAAAATAAACTATAGTAGTTGTTTTTTTGCCCATAAGGGGTAATTAGTTGAGCCTTATGAGGGAAAAACTAATATCTTTAGAATATGAGTAAAAATAGGTAAATAACGATTTTTGACAATTCTTTTATTATATTACCTTTTTTACATAACAATATATACTTATACATATTTCCTAATTCTACTACAGCGGATGATAGGAGAGGCCTATATCCAGCAGTGGACTGCGATGGGCTGTGGATGATATCTACGGCAGATTGCAATAACAGTTTAGATTTTCAATAACATAAAAAAAAATACATTACTTGATATCTAGTATCGTCTCATAACAGCCTAAACATCACACACAATAAGTAAACATATATACGAGAACATTACGACAACATGTTGTAACTTAAGTTACTCTGTGAACTTGTCGATTACGACAGTTTTAGCAATTTTATACTTATTCGTTAGAAATAGCCACGACAACGACTCAGACTTGACCCCATTTACCTACAAGCTCTCTCGCGTTATATTTTTCTTGTTTTAGTTAGAAATTTCGACATTTCACCTTGTGAATGACCTACAGATCCAGTTAGCTGCAAAAGTTTTTTAACTTTTAAGATTTTAAATAGAAAACTTTTTAATATAATTATTTTCAGCTGAATGTCACTTTTATTGTACAAACAGCAACAAATGTAACATGAGTAACATATAATAAAAATATTTGCAAAAACAAAATGCACTTTTGATTTACAGGATAACTTTTAAAGTCTATCTTACAATTAGTGTCTCTTTATAAGATTTGTATGAATAAAACACTACTGAAGTGCATTAATTGGGTGTTTCTATGGAAACACACGTATTCAGAGATATACTGAAAGATTTTAAAAAAGTACTACATAAAAATATAAATCTACAGGGAACTGAACTATCGAAACGAGAAAAAAGATATCCTTCTCATTTAGCTTGCCTTAATTCCTGATAAGAACGTATGTTCAAAATTAAACAATCCCATTTGAGGTGAAATAAAAAAATATAAATGGTCTAATCTTTAAATTTAATCTGAAATTAAATTACAATATAATAATATTCACACAACGCCATTTAGTCCCACACTAAGCAGAGCTTGTACTATGAGTACTAGACAACTGATATAACACATATTTGCTTTTTAGTGTAAATACATAAATAATATATTATAGGTCATTCATTTAAACTAGTAAAAGGCGTTACACAGGGAGATCCCCTATCTCTAAAACTATTCTCAGCTGTTCTAGAATCAACTTTCAGGCGACTGAATTGGGAAAACTTTGCTATCAATGTAGACGGTGAAACGTTGACGCATCTGAGATTTGCTGATGACAGAATGCTATTCGCCAAAACGTCTAAAGACCTCAAGAATGATAGAACAGATTGCGGAAAGAAGTGAGAAAGTAGGGCTAAAACTTAAGCCAGAAAAGGCTAAAGTAATGAAATTAGGCAATATGGAAATTAACTACACAGAAGAATATATCTACCTGGGACAGCTCATACAGAGAAGAATCACAAACGGCTGGAGAAGATACTGGAGCTTGAGAGAGGTTATGAAAGATAAAAAACTTCATATTAACATTAAAAGTAAACTAAACGTAAAGTAAACTATTAAAAGTAAACCCGTCCCTATGTACGGGTGTCAATCATGGACTGGAGGAGTATGCTAAATGTCAAGAGATCAGACAGACTGAGAAATCGTGCCATCAAAAATAAAACAAAAACCATGTGACATTAAAAATTAAAAGACTCAAACGGAAATGGGCAGGGCACATGATTAGAGGTTATGATAAATGAAGTAAGAAAGTGACAAGATGGTATCCAAGGGAAGGTAACAGGAAAGAGGTAGACCGCTGAAAAGATGAAATGATGATATCAGAGAAGTGGCAGGAGTGATGTAGAGCAGAGTGGCTCAAGAAAGATCAGAATGGAAAAGAATGGAAAAAAGGAGGCCTTTGCCGATTGGCAAACAGATTTACAAAATATAAATAAGTTACATTACAAATACTAGAATAAGGTTTTAAGTCTTATATTCGTTTTAGAATATTGTTATTAGGCTAAGTCGATCTGAATAAAGGCTATTGTTATTTTACAACACCTAGACTAAATCAACCATTAAATGTTCATGCACAAAAATGTTTGACTTGAGCGGGAATCGAACCCGCGACCTTTGGAATAGCAGACTGTTACACAAACCAGTACTCCATCTGATCTTAAGAGATTTATAAAGAGTAGAGATAGAAGTGTTAATTGATGAGTAGGTACATTATATGCCGTACCAATAATGTACATCAATGTATATATGATGGCCGTTACCTTATCTTGGTGATAGTATAGTTACTGGGTCCGACAACCGTGATATTGCTGAAAGCAGCCGTGACTCTCACAGCGCCAGCGGAGTTTTCCATCACGAGTCGGTCGATTAAAAGTGGTTCCACTGGAGGCACTCCCAGTTCAGGAATACCCTCGGATAAATAAGGCCGGAGGTGATTAAAAGAGTTCTTGATACAATTGTCTAATTGTGGATCGCTTTGACTGCAAGGTAGGATGTACTCCGCTGAAACAAAAAATATTTTCTTTTACTAAATGCCTTAAGAAAAAGGCAGAATTATTGTAATTAGTCAAATTAAATGCGGAAAATTGGTAATTAATTAAACTCCAAAAACTTTAATTGCTCCTATACTTATATGATATTAGTTTAATTTATGAACAGAATAAATATCGTTTGATATTTGGAAAATATCCTCCAGGGACATTTTCTTCATCCCAATTTAATCTGTTTCTTTGTCCTGTTTGAAAACGATTACATTCCATAGGAGCACAGATTTCAGACGTCGGGGAAAAGGCCCAGAAAATGATGATCGTCAGTAAGTAGGAAGTGCAGGTGATACAAATTACATTATTTCATCTAACAAGATACAAGGTACTAAGTTACGTCAGAACGAAGTTAAAAATGGCCCTAACAAGAAGTATTCAGCAAAAGGGCATATCTAATCTAACAATATCTTCAGTCACAACATCTAAATCATGTTTGTATATTTCAAAAGCGAATGAGGGGCATAGTACCATAGACAATGTGTGTCATAACCAAACCATGTTACGTAAATGTAGTGTGGGTGGATAATGTTGATGGTGGTTGATCACCTTTCAAAATAAAGGTTATTTTTATTCATCAAAGAATGTACACAATTGCAAGAAGAGACTTCCGTTAGAGGGTTCAGCCTGCCCATCAACAGCCACAGCAAAAGCAACAGTTAATTGGATGATGGAGCAAGGAGAATTCCTAAGTGACTCCTAATGAACCCTCTAATTTGGCTTAATAATGGTAGTTTAATGATGAAGGCACGTTTATATTGGAATACTCCCTTACTTTTAATCCGATTCCTCATTAATGTCTTTTTAATTTACTCAAAACCTTTTATTTTCATAATTTCAATGGATATCGCTCTGCCGTAACATTATCATTCACGTCAATACTATTAATCTGTGACCCACAAACAAAACCTCTTTTTTGTCAAAGAGAGAACTGAAGATCAATCGAAATTACTGATCAAAATTGTCGCATACAACCCCATACATTGTTCACCATGTTTCAAGGTCAGTATATATACCTTTTATTTGTTTCCATTATATTTTAAATAGCATTGAGGTGAAACATTCCTGTTGAGAAAAAAACTCAAATTCACCTTAAGGCGAATGTTTGGAAGGATTGATATAAAGTTAAATGGTACTCATTTACGCCAGAACGGCAGAAAAAAATTGGACGAAATTTTGGTGTTGATATAAATTATAATATTATACAAGAATAAAGCATCATAAAATATATTGGCAACATCAACATTACTGCGAGAGAAGACGCGTCCAAAACATAGTTTAAACATTTGCTTTAAGAGTAGCTTGAAGTGCACCATAGACATTTAGTCATATTTTATGTTATATAGTGTATCTTTTTATGACATATGATAAGAACAAAAGTTATGACTAAAAGAAAAAATAAGTATAAAAGTAACAAGGTGTACTAAATCTAAAAATAAATAAAATTGAATTGTCTCTGTAAAGTCAAAATTATAGGTATTTTTACCTATGCCTATGCCTAAAAACCAGTTAAATTATTTTTTTGTCTGTCTGTATGTTTATTCGGGTGATCTTCTAAACGTCTGGACCGATTTCTATAATATTTTACTACCAGGTAGCTGTCTACATAAGGAATAACTTAGGCTATTTTTCCTCTCAGAAAAACTCTTTAAAATTTTGCCCAGTCCGGGCATCGAACCCACTAAGGCAGCGCTTTTCAAATTCCACGCGAACGAAGTCACGAGTACCAGCTAGTTATAAATTAAATGTTACTGCAGTAACATATGGGTAAATAAAAATCCTAACATGCATCAATTCCATAAACAAAATTGTGTTGAACTTGAACGATTTCACAAGTTTACACAAGGTCACATCGCTTATATAACTGTTACACAACCCGCGTCGGCGACACGGTGACCCACATTGCAATGTTTGCAATAAAACCTCTACACACCGCATTTTGAGAAACACACATACCAATCGGTATCATTTGTAATATGTTGTCAAACTTGTTGATTTTACTCTTACATCACTTTAATGGAAATATAGAAAAGTTTTTTTAGTGTTGAGATAAATCATTCTTAAAAAAAGTCGAAGCCACTTCAAACAATACTAATAAAGAGCACTAAAAACCTAGCAGCAATCGTGGTTGATTTGCTGCCAGTTTTTGAAAAGTTCCGTTGTCTGACTCTGAAACTCATCATCAAATCTAAATGGAATTAAAATGGCACCATTTTGAAAAAAAAAAGATTTCGAAAAGCCGCCTATATATGACGGAGTTATGCCCGAACATACATAAAAAAAAAAAAAAAACATCCAAATTGATAACCTCCTCCTTTTTGAAGTCAGTTAATAAAACATGTTTTAATAACTGATATCTACTTCTTTTATGTAAGTGAAGTTATTAAAACATGTTTTATTTATATATATACACATGGTAACCGAGCAGATGATGTAGAAGAAATTACTGCCACCCATTTACAAATGCGACTTAAGCGACAAATGTGCAATTCTGACAAAAACCAATACCCTCCCCTTACTAGGAGCGTGCGTAGGTTTTTAGTAAACTCACTCATTCTGTAAAATGCAATGAAAGAATTGCCTAACATCAGTTTTCCAGTGAAGCCGTGGAATCATCCTGGTCGAACCGACCCACAGACGCCGACGCATGACTGTACCACGGTACAATTACCGTGTGTGAAACTGTGACCAACGTCACAGCGTTGTGCCTGGATATATTATAATAATAAATATAATATTTTCGGATATCTGACACATAACGCCATCTAGTTTCAAACTAATTAGAGCTTGTACTATGAAAGCTAAACGGATTGATAGAAAACTTATATATATATATATATAAATGATTGGTATATTTGGTGTCTATCATAAACAGATTGTTGGAATAAAGATCAAGTAAGTGAAAAGCTACATAATTGTACAGCTTAATGTTGATAAAAAATAATAGTTTTAAAAAACAAAAAAACACGCTTGGGTGCCTGTTGTATATAATAGTAAAAAGCACTTCCCGCTTTTTTTCAAATTTATTAAAATTTATTTTCTATTTTTTAGTTGGGTTTTCTATAAAAAGCGTGTTTTTTGTTTTTTAAACAATTTTTTTTTTCAATTAGTATATTGTCATCGGTCCTCGATATATCTACAAAGTTTAAACGAATTCTGAGCGTTTAAAGTCAGTGAAAATCACGCCCAAAGGAGTCGGTTACAAACAAACATACAAGTGAAGCTAATATAAAGCGTGTAAAAATACAAACGTAGGCATATGCAGGCATGTTGTTTTATAAGTATGTACCTTTGTACATATTTACGTTTCAGGTTTGTATTCAAGTCAGAACCATCTTAACCTTTCACTAATCTGTGATGTATGTTTAATCTCGTGATTTTTGGAATTAAAGATTTGTGATTAAACACGTGTTATTAAAACGAAATATATAAGTCAATCAATCATCTGTTAATAAACTGCGTACTTATAAAAATAATTAAACGTACAAAAATATCACAGTCTCTAAAAACCGATGTTAAGCGTTTTTTTTTTTCGTTGCTTTTAAGTATTTAATGGAAAGATTTGGGGGGGGCAGCTCTTAAAGGGCTGCTAAGCCCACAATAAACTTAAAAACTACCAAACTTCTTTTTGTACAGTTTTCACCTGTTGATAGTGTGACTCCTGAGACACACGAGAACGATCCTAGTTCAGGACAAGTCATCATGAAATCCATAGTCAAGTTATATGTTTTTTAGTAGTTAGTTAATATCTTCCTTATTGTAGACGGAAGTCATCAATGACAAAACAACAATACATTATAGTAATCAATGATACGGCAAGAAAACAATATATAAGTATATTTTAAATAGCTTTTATTTATTTATTTTATTGATTTTAGTCAAGTATTGAAGTAACTGGTATAATTAAAAGAAACTTGATTTTTAAGTTAGATTTAAATATTGTATTATATGTAAATTTACAAGAAAATCTTGTTATAATTTACATTTAAATTCGATTCATTTTATTTCGAGGGTTCTGTACTCTACAGAACCCTCGAAATACTAAATTGTATTATGAGAAGAATGTTGTCGATACATATAATTATAAAGTGTTACTGTATATCATCATTATACAATTGGCATAACAGCAACACATTACACATTAAAGCAAACATAAAAGCTAATGACACACCGTTACATAAATTACTCTTCTGACGGCAATATGTTCAGCCTTTTATTTTGGTGACAGGTAGGAAAATTCCTTTAGATCTCCAGCTCCTTGGGGACGCAGGAACGTAAAGTATATGATACTTCTAATAAAAACGACCCTTAAAGCCAGCCTTAGGCACCCTACCTTCAGAAGGTCCTCCCAAATCAACGTCGCCCCTAACTAGGCCCTTACCCGAAGGCAAAAGGAAGCTCCCACTCGCAATCAGCGATACAACCTGATCGCGTCTTGATGCGATTAGGCCACGACGAAGGGACAGGCCCTTACTGCAGCTCCCCTAATCTGCCACTAGAGGTCTCTACACTCGGAATATATTCAGGCTTATTAAAATAATATATAAAATAAATTTTCAGCTAAAATTTGTGGGTTTTATATTTATGGTCAGTGCTCTGAAAAAAATGTTGATTTAATTATTTAAACTTTTTTAATTACAATGATATTGTATTAACATTTTAAGTTTAGAAGATGTTCTCAGTCAAATACACGCGCATGCATGTTGTAACAAGCAAGTATATCAGTCTCGTAACAAGTACAGTAATTGTAATAGAACTTTTCCTCCCTCTTGAGAAACTCTAATTGTGCGGTTTGGAGAATCGGGCCATGTCGGACACACATACGTTTATTATCACTTGGATGCTCAGTTGTAATTAATTTGATTATTTTGTGTAAATAACATAATTCTCCTAGTTCTTTCGTTACATATCGTTCAGTTTATAGTAAATTATGTATTATATAGTTAACCTGATTAGCAGTGG